TATATATATATATATATATATATATATATATATTTCATCAGACAGTCTCCTTATGCACTTCTGACAATTGTTCTGGTATGAAAATCTTCCTATGTATGTATTGAGACAGATTACTACTGCCCTCTCATAGCCAATTGGTTTATGAACTGCTTTGATTACAAGTTTAAAGATACTTGTCAACTTCAGCCACAGTCTTGGTTCAGCAGATACATACCCCTAATTCAGGTAAACTCTTTACCTAAAAATATTTCATTGCAATTAGTCATTCAAAAAGAAATTGGTCCAAGATTAATAAAGTTAATGTTCTAGGAAAAGCTATTCTTTTATAACTCAGTTTCAAAATATTTAGACACATTCAAAAATATCATGTCATATTAACTATTATAGATTTTTATATTATTCCTCTTCCCTTTTATGGATCAGAGATGTTCTGGGGCTGGGGGTGGTACGTGCTTTAATTCCAGCACTCAAAAGACAGAGGCAGTTGGATCTCTGTGAGTTTGAGAAAAGCCTGGCCTACAGAGCAAGATCCAGGACAGGCTCCAAAGCTACGCAGAGAAACCCTGTCTCAAAAAAACAAAAAACAAAAACAAAAAACCCACAGAGATGTTCTGGGATCATATATTACTACACCTACAGGGTGTTTATATAGTTCTCAGCTTGCCAAAAATATAGGTTATTGATTTGTAATTAATTATGAGCATATATTATTGATTATAGTTTATTGATATAAATATTGATTAAATATCAATACAAATTATTGATTCTTATTAAATATTTCAGAATCATTACAATATTGTTTGTCATTCTTCCAATCATCTTTAGGCTTTTAATTTATCCACATTACTCACTGCCCTAAGAGAGATTTACACACTTCTTTTTTTTTTTTTTTTCATTAAACAAAAAAGGGGAGGTACTGGAGTCCACGGGAATATACAACAGGTGACAACTAGCATTTAACAAGTCGACCTACCAGATGAACAACTCTCTGATGGGGAGCCCCACTTGGCAAGGACCATGGGGTCATTGACTGTAGGTGATTGGTTGCTTCTGTCTGTAGTTTTTCTCATGTGCCACTACACTTCTTTCCTAAGACCTGCTATGGGTGCTTTCCCACTGCTTGTGTATTTATCTCATGTAGGTATTCCATCTATTAGGCACACTTATAGCTATGGATGGTCAGGAAGATGATTTCTGCTTAAGCTGTATATTTCTGATGAATAGAAATAATCCTCGGATATTTTTCATACTCAGACTGTCATAGGAAAATAACTGTATTCTCAGCGACAAAGATAGCTTTTCATACAATTAGCTAAGACCTCAGAACAGATTCAAAATAGACTGGTTGCCCCTAGAGACGAATTGCACAGGGGCAGGTTCCCTAGTGTCTGTTTGTTGAACCAAAGTCAGGCAGATAACATTAAGACATAAACTCCCTGCAGCAACTGACTTTCTGCACATACTCCTACCCTCAGGGTTCAGCCAACTAACTGTTTATTGTTTAAGTCCTGAATTTCAATGTCACTCTGTCTGGAACCCTGACCACTCAGAGCTATGTGCCTGCTTACTCACCATGCCCGGTCAGTGCGATCTCCCTAGCCTAAGAGAAACTGTGTGATGAGAATGGCTTTGATTGGTTTTTTTTTTTTAAGATTTCTTTATTATGTATACAGAAGAGGGTGCCAGATCTCATTACAGATGGTTGTGAGCCACCATGTGGGTGCTGGGAATTGAACTCAGGACCTCTGGAAGAACAGTCAGTGCTCTTAACCTCTGAGCCATATCTCCAGCCCATGGCTCTGATTCTTATTGTTTACTTAAGAAATGCTATGTGACCCTGAAAATGTGATTCATATTTGTTCAGTCTTTGCTGTAGAGAGAAGTGAGAAAAACGAAGAAGGAGAAGTGTGAAGAGATGTAGCTGAGTGGGTAGAGAGATACAGCATAGAGAGCTGCATAGAAAAGAGATGTAGAGATGTGTGTGAAGGAAGAGCTGTGGCTGTGTGGTGAGAGAGCTGTGTAGATGAGATGTATAGCTGTGGCTGTGGAGACAGAGCGGTGTGTGGAGGAGAGTGAGAGTGAGTGTGTATTAGTATGTGAAGGAATGTAAGCAAGGTAGAGAGAAGAAATGTGTATAGAAGAGAGATGTAAGTGGAGAGCAATGTGAAGCTATGTACAAAAGAGAGGTGACTGTGTATAGAGATCTGTGGCTGTGCAGAAGGTAGATGTAGCTGGGGAGAGAGATGTAACTGTGTAGAGATTTGTGGCTGTACAGGAGAGAGATGTGTGAACATATGTAAAGAATGTAACTGTGTGGAGACACTTATTTACACCTCACATAGAAAAGTCTAGCCCTTGCTGCATTCCTGGATTGTTTTGCATACCCTGGAGGCGGTCTTGGAGCAGGCTCCATAAAAAAGCCGTCGATAATATAGACCTGTTTCACTGTAATAAGCAGTAACCATGAATACAACGACTCTTATGGTTGTGTGAATCCCAGTAATAGAATCCAAGAATGTTTTTGGGAACTTCCAAACTTGTAGTTGGCTTCAAAATAGGGATGGCCTTAAGGACTTACACTGCACTTACCATCTTAAACTCTGAAGAGAGGCATCCCATCTTATTTGCTAAAAGTGACACACATATAAAAATTGAAAACCTCTGCTTGGGCTAGGGGCATAGATCAAAAGTACATTGTTTGCCTGGCATGTGCAAGGTCCTGGGTTCAGTCCCTAGCACTGCACAAAAAGGGGGAGCAGAGGCTCTCAAGTTCAAGGCAAGACAAAACAATGGTGTTCTGGTCAGCAACAGCCTGCATGTGTGACCATCCCACCAGACACTGCCTAGTGGTGTTAGTCTGAGCAGGCACACCTGTGAAGGTCACACGACACAACAATACACAGCTCACAAACACTGATGTGAACTGACAACTGACTGCATGCAGAGACTTCCCTTCGCAAACTGAAGAACATACAGTAACAGAACGATGAGAAAGAAATGGAAACATTTGGCATGCCCATGCTTCAGGGTATCAAAGCTTCATTTTCCATATAAAAGCAGTAAAGTCAGGGGAAAAAGAACTCCACTTCACCCCACCCCAGCTCCAGTCCTAGTAAGGCCCACTGCAGACCACTGTCCTTCACTGTACTCCTTACCCCTCTCCAGGATGTGCTGCAGGCCTTCCTATTGCAAAGCTTGGCAGGGAGATTCCCTCTGCCTGGAATACACTTCCCTCTTCTGCTCACAAGTTCATTTTTACTCACCGTTCAGGCCTCATTCAAGCATCTTCTCAAGTCATGTCCTGACTTCAAATGTTCTTACAGCACCATTGACCCTCCCTTCAACTATCAAGTTATAACTTTACTTTTGTTTAATTAACATTTGTTGGCTCCATTTTAGGTCAACTGTTGCTGGAGGGCTTCTCTCCAGGTTCCCCAAGCCCCGCAGTCCCACAATCCACTTATAAAATAATCACTCAGACGCTTATATCACTTATAAACTGTATGGCCGTGGCAGGCTTCTTGCTAACTGTTCTCTTATCTTAAATTAACCTATTTTTATAAATCTATACCTTGCCACGTGGCTGGTGGCTTACCGGCATCTTCACATGCTGCTTGTCCTGGCGGTGGCTGCAGTGTCTCCCCTCCTTCTTCCTGTTTCCCCAATTCTCCTCTCTCTTTGTCCCGCCTATACTTCCTGCCTGGTCACTGGCCATCAGTGTTTTATTTATATAGAGTGATATCCACAGTTGCACAAAGTAGAAAGCCTGTGTCCATGTTGCTTACCACTGTACTTTGAATATTTAGGACGATGCATGAATCTTAGAAGACATTCAAGAGTATTTTAACAAATAAATGAATAAATATCAGTTTGCTATATTATAAAAATCTTTGTTAAATTTCACTTACATAATTTGAAAGTGTGTATTTCTTTTCATTGTTGTTGTTGCTGGAAGACAAACATGTTTGTTTTTGTTTCCCCCCCCAAAACAAGGTTTCTCTGTGTTGCTCTGACTGTGTTGAAACTCATTCTGTAGACCAGGCTGGCCTCTGCCTCCCAAATGCTGGAATTAAAGGCTACTGCCGAGTGCCCTAAAAAGTTCATACTTTCTTAAATGTAGTTATAGAAACTGCTTTAAATGTACTCATTAGCTATTATTAGTAGGAAAAAATGAGTTTTATAACGATCAAAGTGATCAAACAAATGCACTTACCCTTCCATAAGCATTGCAAGAGAACCCAGTATAAGAGTATGAATTACATGATAAATTATTTCTGGCCTTTCTCCAATTCTTCCATCTTCAAGAGTTACAGTTTCTTTCTGGGATTTACCACTATATAAAGGAAACATGTTTTTAACAGTTTGGAAAAATATACATGAAAAATCAAAGATACATCATCATCTTTGAAAGCTATACCTAACACTGAATTTCTTCTCTTTTTCTAAGGTCAATCATGCCTGAACTAGCAATGCTAACCAATATACTTAACCTTCAAAGTTAGGAAGCTATGCCTGGCCATCTTCCTTTTTGTTCGTTTGTTTTTGTTGTTGTTTGGACACAGGGCTTCACCACTAGCTGAGGCTGACCTAGAACACATTCTGTAGCTAACCTTGTCTCTACTCCAGGAAATCCTTTTGCTTTAGGCCATACAGAGTTGAGATTACATGTTTGCACCACCACACCTGGCTTCAAGGTACTTTTTCCTTTTATTGTAGTGCTGGGTCACCAAGTGTAGGTCTGTATAGTAAGTAGGTGCTGTATGTAACGTCAGCCTGTAAGGGAGCATGTGTAAGAGGGGAGACTGACTGGGAAGTACCTGCTAGTAGTTCTTATATGTATTTATTTTTGGTTTTTGCAGTGGGGTCTCATATAGCCTGACTAGCTCTGAACTTGGTATGTAGGCAAGGCTGGCCTTGAACTCAAGACCCAGGCTTCACCTCTCTGGACTGTTCCAGTTTTAGTATGTGTGCTGCTGAAGCAAGCACATCCAGTCCTCACCTCTCAAATGCTGGAATTACAAGCACACTACAAGTATCCTGAACTACCTTGCTAGCATAATAAACATTAAAACAACTATATTTAGGCCGGGCGGTGGTGGCGCACGCCTTTAATCCCAGCACTCGAGAGGCAGAGCCAGGCGGATCTCTGTGAGTTCAAGGCCAGCCTGGGCTACCAAGTGAGCTCCAGGAAAGGCGCAAAGCTACGCAGAGAAACCCTGTCTCG